CACTAGGGGGCGCTGTGCTGCTGAACGTGCCATTGGCAGAATTCACGCGCCTGAGACGCTGTTGGCAGGAGCTGAAATGTTCTCCCGGCGTCCTGGCTACGTGGCAGCTTGGCCCCCCGATGTCTTCTCGGGGGCGGGGGGGGGGCATGGTCCTCCACTTCCTGTCCCAAAGCTGCCGGGCTCCCCTCAGGGCTGGGGGAAGCGAACGTCACCTGGGAGTGAGGGGGCGACTCCCTAACTCCCCCACCCCCCAACAGTCTCTTTCTGTCCCCCCCCCTCCAGAGACATCAAACCCGACAACATCCTGCTCGACCGTTGCGGGCACATCCGCCTGGGGGACTTCGGCTCCTGCCTCAAGCTCCGGGAGGACGGCACGGTGAGTGCAGTGCCCTCCGCCCCCACGCTGGCCTCCTCGGGCGACAGCGCCGAGGCAAACGACGCAGCTTCCCATCGGAGATCTGCCGACTGGCAAACCCCTCTCTGCCACGGCTGGGGTGGGGGGGCTCCCTGTCCACACTCCCTGCCTCTAGTTCGCTCTGCCTCACCCTGCCACGCTCCCGGACTGCGCAGCTAGGACACGGCTGGTCCGGGAGTCCGGGTGAGTCAGCCGAAGCAGCTCTGCATCTCTATGCAGGGAGCAGACAGTGTGGGGAGGGCAAAGGGACCCTGCCATGCCATGGGCCTTGCGGCACCAAAGACAAGGGGGGGGTCCGAAATGGTGCCCCCCACCTGCTGAATCCTCTCCCCCTCCCCGGCAGATCTGCTCGTCGGTGGCAGTGGGGACCCCCGATTACCTGTCCCCCGAGATCTTGCAGGCCGTGGAGGATGGGAGCCACTCGTACGGCACCGAGTGCGACTGGTGGTCCCTGGGCGTCTTCGCCTATGAGATGTTCTTCGGGCACACGCCCTTCTTCGCCGACTCCATCGTTGAGACCTACGGCAAGATCATCCACTTCAAGGTTGGGGGGGGCAGTGGGGCAGGGAGGCGGCACCGGCACCTGGGACCCTAGGAGGAGTGCACAGTCTCCTCTAGTCCCCACCCACTGCCAGGCATCCCCTCGCCTCCCCACAGAACCCTGCCCCCCAGTGTCCTGCCCCCCCATCTCCACCCCCAGTGCTCTGCCCCTCGTCACTGCCCCAGTGCCTTGCACCCCCATTTCTCCCCATCTCCACCTGCCCCCCCTGCCCTCCACTCCACACCCGGTCTGCCCCCCCGCAGCTCCCCTGAGCCCCCCACCTCCCGCCTTTCAGGAGCACTTTCGCTTCCCGCTCTCGGCGCCGGAGGTGCCAGACGACGCCCGGGCCCTGATCCAAGGGCTGCTCTGTCCCCGGGAGACGCGGCTGGGCCGGAACGGGGTGCGGGACTTCCGGGAGCACCCCTTCTTCGCCGGCGTGGACTGGGAGGGGCTGCGGGCGTTCACCCCGCCCTTTGCCCCTGAGTTCGCCAACGCCACCGACACCTCCAACTTCGACGTGGTGGACGACTGCCTGACGGATATGGTGAGCGGGGGCGGGGTACGTGACCTTTCATTTCTCAGCCCCAACCCGCGTCTGCGCCTTGCATGGCTGCCCTCCTCCCCCCTCTGCATCCCCCTCTCACCTTGGGCTGCCCCCAGGGTCACTCAAGGGCTGGCCCCGGTGACGCTCTGGGCGTGCGACGGTGGGACGTGCCTGCGGGCCTGGTGCAACGCTCTCGGCCTGGCATCGCCATGTGCCACATCTCTGGCCAGCTCAGGCCCCCTGGCACTGCAGAATGGCCCTAAAGTGGGGGGAAGGGCCCCCCAAGTATCCCCCCACTGGCTGGCATGGAGCTGGCGCCCATAGGGGGCAGATGGGAGGTGGGGGGGGCACAGAGAGGGAGAGCACGAGTTAGAGCAGCCCTGAGGTTGCACTAAGTGAGGCCAGGGACTGGGGAGACCCTGGGTGCCCCCAGGGAGGGGGGTTCCCTGCCCTGCTGCAGGCTGAGATCTGCCCTCGTCTCCTGCCCCGGGGGGGGGGGGGGGGCAAAATAACATGAACTCCCAGCGCCACCCCCGTCCCTTTCCCAACTGAGCCAACATAGAGCTTCCCTGTCTGCCCCCCAGTCCCCCCACCTACCTCCCCCAGCCTCCCAGCCCCCACCTACCGCCCCCATCCACCCCCTGCCCCCCAGCCCCCACCTACTTCCCCCAGCCCCCCCAGCCCCCAC